GCCGAAGGCTACAGCTAGCGCTACCACTACTGCCTAGCGCTGAAGACTACTGCAGCGCTCCTCCTGAGCGCTGCGGCCGAATCCTGAAGACTACCTCTGCCTACTCTCCAACTGCCTACTACCCTTTTCTGCAGGGCGGGCCAGTCCTTTATAGTGCTGGCCCGTGCAGGAGGCTGGCCGTGCCAATGCTCCTCTGGCCTAGACCCTGCGGAAGCTTCCAGGCAAGAGCCTGGAAGTTCCCTGAAGTTTCCCTGTAGGGAAACAGACTGGGGCCTGTAGGCCCTRTCAGAAGGAAGCTTCCAGGCAAGAGCCTGGAAGTTTCCTTGTAGGGAAACAGGTTGGGGCCTGTAGGCCCTGTCAGAAGGGAGCTTCCAGGCAAGAGCCTGGAAGTTTCCCTGTAGGGAAACAGGCTGGGGCCTGTAGGCCCTGTCAGAAGGAAGCTTCCAGGCAAGAGCCTGGAAGTTTCCCTGTAGGGAAACAGGCTGGGGCCTGTAGGCCCTGCCAGAAGGAAGCTTCCAGGCAAGAGCCTGGAAGTTTCACTGTAGGGAAACAGGCTGGAGGTCCGGGACGGCCCTGCAAGGCCCGTGTGGCTGCACAGTATGCCACACTCTCTCTCTCTCCCTCTGAAGGTGACTGCTGCTGCTGGTCCGACCACTACAACGAGAGTCAGAGACTGGTTGTCAGAGTCTGCGTGGTCCAGTAGAGTCTTGTTAGAGTCTGGTCCCGCCAGATTGAGTGGTCAGAGTAGAGTCTGCGCTCTCTTCATACCCCTCTTGAGAGGACGGATGCGCCAGGGTACCAGGGGGCTGGGAATCGATATGTGTAGTGGTTGAGTGCCACGACAGATTGCAAGTATAGGCAAATGCAAGTATGCTGCTGAGCAGCGATATAACTAATTAATTAAGAAAGAAAGAAAAATCGGATTAAAGTATATTGCCCAATTGATATGATCGACATCTGCATCTGACATACCCCAGCTCCAACCTGCATCCAGACAACAACCAACGTTAGAAAGAGATATACAAGGGAAATTGAAAGTAATCATAGGAGAAAGGCAATCAGCGAGATTCTGATCCAGTGAACAACCAAGCAGCAAGAGTCTGCAAAAAAAAAAAAAAAAAAAAAGTGTGTATAGACCTCCATTGCCCGGCCAAGTTTAGTAAGTTGTGACTGGGATAGTCACTTGGCAGGTCTGCGGAGGCTATCCCTGTGCTGACCACTGCCATGGACGACTACCCCATGCAGGGCCTGATGGCCCTGTCTGTTCTTATGGGGCCCCTGTTCCGCATCTTCTTTCCATTGGGATTTGGGAGAATCTGTACCTCTCGGATGATGCTGAAGTCATGGAAGATCAAGCCGGGCCCCACAATTGAAGAACAGAAAGAAATTGACCGCCGGCTGGCAGAGAAAAAGAAAGAAAGAGAAGACAAGAAAAGACAGAAAGAAGAAGAACTGAAGAAGAAGCTGAAAGAAAAGATGGAAAGAGAATTAGAAGAAGAAATGAAAAGTATTCAAGAGAAGAAGACGACGAAGAGAAGGATGAAGGGGAGAGATTGCAACGACGCCGACCCAATGGTCAGCCTGAGAGTAGTCGTACCGGTGAGGTACCCCTGCTGTTGGTTCCCCCATTGGATTGCTGGAGGAAAAGAGAAATGAATTGCATACCAAACTGTTAGTAGCAAAGAGACAAGAATTAGAGGAGAAAAAGAGGCTGCAGCCAGAGGGTGAAAAGTTACAAACAGAGTTAGAAGCGCAGAAGGAAAAGAAACTGCGGCAGACGAACAACTCACCCTTCTCAGAGAATCTCTCCTCCAGACAAGGAAGGAGATGGCAGCAATGAACTGGATGCTACAGAAGGTGGAAACTCACCAAACAGAGTTTGAAAACGTCTGGAATACCTTTCTGCACAAATCAGCGCAAGATGTGGACAGGCATATCCAATCCTATATTGTAAAGCTAGATGAGCACATTACTACTACCTTCACACCGGAAGTAATCGAAAAGATCGTGAAAGGAGCCGGAGGTGGAGGAGGGGACGGCGGCGATGATGGAGATGATGGAGACAAGAAGAAGAAAGGGGTGCAGCGTGAAGAAAGGGGTGCAGCGTGAAGAAGGAGATGGGGGAAAGGTAAACAAGATTGAGTTGAAATTGCCATGGACCTATAAAGAGAGTGTTTTGCACTGGATTGCAGCGATTGAGTCATATTGTTATGGACAGCAAGTCCCATATTGGGACAGAGTGCTTATGGCCAGTTCCTGCATGGCGGGAGACGCAATGGGTTTTGCGATCTCTTTGCAAAAAGAAGCAGGATGTGAGTCCTTAGTAGAATATTCTCAGCAAACTCGTTTGGAAGACTTCCTCAAAGCCGTCAGAGAACGGTTCGAGGACAAGAACCTGGCCCGTGGAACAGAAATGTTGGTGTTAAATTTACCTGAAAGAAAGTGGAGAAGCACCTCAGCACTCAAGTCTACTATGGATGAACTGCTGCAGCAAAGCACTGAACATGGCTTAACCCCCGCACAAATTTTGAATAGCTTTGCACGAGCACTCCCTGAACCCCTTCGCTCTCAACTGTATCCCCGAACAAAGGAAGAAGGAATGACTTACGAGAAGTTCAGCAAGATCGCATTGGATCATGCTGGCTTCTTGATTGAGGCTAACTACTGCCACTATTGGAAAGATCTGCAAGCGGGATGAAAGTGGCAAAATCGTATTATCTCAGGGTCAATACCTGGGAAGGACAGCCTCCTCCTAACCTTTGAGGGAGGAGGCATGGAAACCATCCCTTGGGACCAAGTGGATTATGGTCTCGAGGAATTCAACGAACCGGTAGCTCAGGAGGGGAGCTACGCGGCCGTTGCAGCCCGCGGGGGAGGGCGACAAGGTAGAGGGCGCGGCCGAGGAAGAGGAGGTCGTGACCATGGTGGAAGAGGCCCAGGCACCCAGAGGGGAGGTGGCGAAGGTAGCCACTACGTGGGAGGAAGGGAAACGGTCCCTCGCAAGGTGGCCGTGGTACTTGTTCCACCTGGGGTAGAGGAAGAGGCGCATGGTTTGGGAAATGGGATAAACCTTACCCGCCTCATCCCGGTCTTCCCGAAGACCAACCTTGGAAGAAACTGGGAATAACAAAAAAAGTTTGGCAAGAAAGAAAAGCTACCGATCAATGCCTTAAATGTGGGGACCCCGACCACATTGTCCCCTATTGCCCCGACTATAGGGGAGCAAAAGGGAACAACTAGTAGAGGGTCCAGTTGCCTCTACCGGGGCTTCGAGTGTTGAAAAACCAGAATCCTCCCACTCGAAGGCCTCAATGGCAGAGACTGAAGAGGAAGTAGTCAGTCCCAATCTAGTGCACTGCCCAGAGGTGGCAAGCGTATGCATCTCTCTAGATGGATCCCTCACTGGCATAGGTGATGAGTTGGCCGCTCGTCGCCAAGCCTGGACTGAGATGAAGAAAAAGAAAGGGCAGTTAATCCTTGCAGATCTTGAAATAAATAAAGTAAGAGTAGGTGGAATGATAGACAGTGGGTGTACACACAGCTTTATTAGTAAGAAAGGTTTGCAAAAACTGCGTCTTGGGCTAAAGGTTAAGAAATTGAATGCGCCCATAGTAAGTAAATTGGCTAATAGCAGTGAGATCGTGATGGATCGATACGTCGAGGGGGTATGGGCATACTTTCGGCTCGAGGCAGAGGGGAACGTGGAACGTGTTCTCCACGCTCTGACCTTCTTGGTGGAAGATAGCTTGCCCTTTGATGTATTGTTAGGCACAGATTGGGGTGAGGCTGCCGATGCAGACTTGAAGTTGAGAGACCATGAGTGTTGGCTCCCTAGCCCACAAGGAGGCAAAAAGAAAATTCGTCTGTATCATCAGTCAGGAAAGGAAAGCATCCTAGCCCATTGTTGTATGAGTGCCCCAGCGTTCACTCGCCATGTAAAGAAGCATAACTTGAATGATCAAGTCTTTGTTGCATATGTGCGCCCAGTAAAAAAGGGTGAAAGTAAGGAAGAAGTCAAGTCTCAAGAAATTGAAAGAATCCTGAAAGAGTTCGCAGATGTGGCAGAAGCCCTAGGCAGTGTAGTGGAAAGACCTATTAAGCATCGCATGGACATAATTCCAGGGAGTTCACCTCCTAAGGGGGCTATTTATCGTATGTCACCTCAAGAATCGGATGAACTGCGAACCTAGCTTGATGAAATGTTGGAAAAGGGATGGATAAGACCAAGTTCCTCGCCCTATGGTGCGCCTGTGCTTTTCATACCTAAGAAAGATGGCGCCGTTCGCATGTGCATAGATTATAGGAGATTGAATGATATAACAGTGAAAAATGCTGAGCCGTTGCCGCGAATAGATGATTTCTTGGATCGTGTACAGGGATGCAAGTTGTTTACAAAGATTGATCTGAAATCCGGATACCATCAGATTGAGGTAGAACCGGAAGACCAGTATAAGACTGCCTTTCGGACAAGGTATGGGCACTATGAGTTCATAGTTATGCCCTTTGGTCTAACGAATGCCCCTGCAACCTTCCAAAGAATGATGAATGAACTCTTTCGTGAGTGGCTTGATAAATTTGTCGTAATATATTTGGATGATATTTTGATTTTCAGCAAAGATGAGAAAGAACACGCTGAGCACCTTCGACTTGTGCTAAATAAATTGCGTGAAGCAAATCTCAAGTTAAACCCAAAGAAGTGTGAATGGGCCAAGCGCCAGGTCTTGTATTTGGGTCATGTAATTGATGGAGATGGAGTCAAACCGGAGGATGCAAAGATTGCAGCCATCAGAGATTGGCCGAGCCCCCGCACCTTGACTGAGTTGCGGTCGTTTCTTGGGTTAGCCAACTATTATCGGAAGTTCGTTAAACACTGCATGATGATAGTTGCGCCTCTTCGCAGATTGCTCAAGACAGAAACAATCTGGAAGCGTCTGAATCAATGCTTGATAAATTATCCGGTTTTGAAAGTTGCTGATCCGTCATTACCCTTCGTTGTGACTACTGACGCTCGTCAATATGGCATAGGTGCGGTACTCCAGCAAGATGATGGGCATGGGTACAGACCTGTGGAGTTTATGTCTTGTCGTTTACCTAATGAGAAGGTCGCCGCTTCCACCTATGAAAGAGAGTTATACGCTCTTCGAGAAGATTTGAATCATTGGTGACACTATCTTCTAGGAAGGCATTTCAAAGTATACTCAGACCATGAAACACTTCGCTGGCTCAAAACGCAGGCCCGGATGACACCTAAGTTGACTAGGTGGGCCGCTGAACTAGATCTCTACGATTTTGAGCTAAAGCCAGTTAAAGGGAAGTACAATGTCATTGCAGAAGCGTTAAGTCGTAGGTCTGACTTTTTCAGTGCCATTGTAACGTACTTAGATGTTGGTGTCGATGTCCAAGAAAGAATTAGGAATACATATCCCACTGATCCTGTTTATGGCGCAATAATTAAGCCTGTGCAAGAAGCACCAGCAGAGTTTCCTAATTACAAGGTTACTCAGGGCCTATTGTTTGAAAGGACTGATGTACATGATAGGCTATGCATACCAAATGTGGAAGAGATCAAGAGTGTGATCTTAGGGGAATGCCACGATACCGAAGGCCATTTCGGGTGGAAGAAGACCTATGTGAATCCTTTGCTTATGTGCAAGGTTGCTAAGTGTGCCAACGAAATAAGAGCACTACGCAATCTCCCCTTGGTTTGCTTAAGCCTTTACCTATCCCGACAGGACCCGGAGACTCTGTGTCTATAGACTTTATGGACACTAAAGTGAGAAACAGGAATGGGAAAACGCAAGTGATGGTAATCGTCGATAGATTTACTAAGTATGCTGTCTTTGTAGCTTTACCGTCGGAAGCAAAGACTGACTTGGTAATTCGAGAGTTCTTTAACCACTGGGTGAAAGACTTTGGATATCCCTTGACTATTGTAAGTGACAGAGATACAAGGTTCACGAGTGAACAGTGGCAGCAACTAATGAATGTCTATGGCTCTAAGTTGACTAAGTCATCAGGTAGGCATCCTGAGACTAACGGCTAGACTGTGCAAATGAGCAAAATCTTGCAACAGACATTGCGCATGTATATTCGTCCCGACCAAATCGACTGGGATGAACATTTGCGTAAGGTTGCTAGTGCCTATAATAACTCTGTACATCTGTCTACATGTAAGGCTCCTATGGAGTTACATTTGGGATGGCGACCACGTAGACCGATTGATCGTCTAAACCCAGATCAGGTGCATAAGCTTCCACCACGGACAAGTGAGTTCGCAATTCAATATCAGAAAGACATTCAAAAGGTAAAAGAGAATATACTCAAACAAAACATCAAATGATTGAACAGGCGAATAAGCACCGACGACCCTCTCAATTTGTTGTAGGAGATTTGGTTTGGGTGAAGTCTAAGGAGTTTGCTCCTGAGGAGAACATTTCTCAAAAACTTCTACCCGCCTACCGAGGACCTTGGCAGGTTTTTGATGTGATTGGAGACGTGGATGGTCCTTCCTATGTTATTGAGATTCCTTTGCATCTACATACTTATCTAGTGTTCCACGCATCAAAGCTCTTACCTTGTGTAACAAATGAGCTATTTCCAAGTCGCAGATCCGCAATACCTCCAAGTATGGATGAAAAGTATGACGTGGATAAGATTGTTGCAGAAAGATCCTTTCACACTGGTCGTAGAGGCAGACCACAACGTCAGTATAAGGTCAGATTTGCATACCAGGATCCCAGTGAAGATCGCTGGTTTACAAGAGAAGAGTTATGGGATTTTGCGCCTCATATTGTGTCTGCTATGAAAGAGCAAAGAAAGGAATCAATATTATTCATCGATGATTGATTTCTCAGAGGACCTCGAAATTAGGTCGGCGAGAGTAAAAGGGTCTTTACCCGATTCAGACCTTGTAAAAGTAAAGTAGACCAGGCCGCTGGTCAGGCACACACACTTGTTTGTATGCAGGTACCCAGACAGCATCAGGTTCAAGGGAGAAGTCTGCAACTGTACAATCCGGGTCCTCAGCTGTGAGTCAATCTGAACAACTGTGGGGAAAGCACCTGAGGCCAGACAACCTTGCCAATTGCTACTCAAGGCTGGCCTCAAGTGAGTCAAGCATTCAGTCTTGCTATGCTGCTCGAGTGCTGGCTTGACTTCAACGACGCTGGCAAAGTGCTGGCTCGACGCTGGTTGTATGCTAGCATTACAGATGACAACAGGGATTGTGGCCATACGCTGGCGCATTCTGTATTCAGCGCCAGGCATGCTGATGGGGCGGTGCCTCTTGTCTACATTGCATGCTGATGTAGTGCTGCCTCTGGTTTACATTGCATGCTGATGTGGCGCTGTGTTACATGCACAGATATGCAATGTACGTAATAAACCGAGAATCTGCAATGTGATGACAAGGGCTCAATAGACAATGCGGTACGAGTAGAATCTCGACAAGCACTGTACGTTCTCATTCATACATAAAGATGCTGAAGAGCGCAGGGAAGGCTTTGATATAAAGACTGACCTGACAGGACTGACCTCATTCACGTAGTTCAGAGTAACGAAGCAGAACGCTAGCGTACTACTAACTAGCCCAATCAATGTTTGAACTCAGACTAAACATGCATTGTATCCATCACCAAGTGTGAAGGAGCTTGGCGCTACACACAGGAAGAAAGCGCCAGGTCCAGACATACACAGGATCAAACGAAAGGAGGGAGGAAGATGGGAATGTCGTTAACACCAAGTCTTGGTCACCAATCCCAAATAGTCCCTCGCTGCCATGTCTGAACCCCTGAATGTCGAGTCTGGATCAAATGTCACCAAGCTCTGTATGTCTTCTCTCATAGTCTGCAGATGCAGTGAAGTCAGAAGTGAGAAGGAGAGAAGAGATGGTGGACTGAGAAGAGGAAGAAGAAGAAGAACTCTCTCTCTCTCTCTCTCTGTTACGAACAAGATACTAACCTGTGATGTTGGCATTGTGCTGCAGGTACCTCGAAGACGAAGCTGGAGCAATGGCGCTGTAGGTAGGCACCTCTGGCCTCCGCCCAAGCTCTCTCTCTCTCTCTCTAGTACTACCTAGCTATGGCGCCCAGCGCTGGAGACTACAGCTACCTACTGCGCCCAGCGCTGAAGACTACTAGCTAACGCTACAACTACTACAACGCAGCGCTCCCTCCAGAGTGTTGCACCCGAATCCTGAAGATTACAATTGACCGACTGCCTACCTCGGAAGTGCCTGGGAAGTCCTATGTACTAACTCGGCCTGCCTCCTGACTACTGGAGGCCAGTCAGGCCGAGGAGGCAGCTCTTGCCAATGCCGAAGTGTGCCAGGGGTTGGCGTGCAGCAACCTGCTTGAGGCTGGCGTGGGAAACAGACTAATAATAGTCTGTTTCCGAAACCCTGGTTTGGTGCCTGAGTTTCAGGGCCGGTCGTTCTGATGAAAGACCGAAAATGGCCCTTCGTTTCAGGCTAAAAAGGCTGTTGCCATTTTTCGTCTGAAACAACCAGGGATAGGCCCTGAACTTCAGGCTTTTGGCCTGAACCGACAGGGGGCCTATAGTTCAGGCTTTCGGCCTGAAGTTTAGGCTTTTAGCCTGAACGGACGCAGGCCTGCAAAATGGCCCGTGTGTGCACGCGCTGCATGTAACCCCCCCCCCCTCCTTATGAAGTCAAGCCTTGGGGAGGGCGAAGCCGTCGATCTGAAGGTGGAACCTGGAACGGGCGCGGCGTGGAGCCGAAGAAACTGGCTTGCCTTGCATCTTGCGTTCGTAGCGTGCGAGAACGTGTGGAGCTGTCGCTTGCAGTTCCACACGGGTTAACCAACGGTCAACTCGATGTGTGCAGTAGGCAAAATGCACCAAATACTCAGTTGGCTTGGTGCCAAAGCGTCGCTGGGAGATGATGTCGCCGACCTCCTGAAAACCATCCATAGAAGGTGGGTCTTGCGTACGTCTCCCGGGAAAGTCGTCATGATCCGCTAGCGTGTAGAGAGCCAGTTTGGAGCAATGAAAGACTGGGTAGACAGGCAAGTGGCTAGGCACGTCAATCGTGAAGGATGGTCCTTCGGGTGCGTCCCCAGCGGGCTCTATGATCAGCCAAGGCCCCATCCATTTCGGGAAGAGCTGCGAGAGACGTCTTGTTCAAGGCTGAATTCCGCTGCTGAAACCCAGACGAGGTCCCCGACGCGGAATGGACAAGGAAGACGCTCGCGATTTGCCTGTTGGCTCATGCGCTGCTGCGTCTTAGCCATCTGGTCGCGTGCCTTGACAAGAAGCTCTTGCATCCGACGCAAGAAAAGAAGATGGTCGTCGCTCTCGGCCGTGCGTGGAGTAATCGTGTCCAACGGTGACGTGACCGGCGAGCCGTGATCGAACTCGAAGGGCGATATCCCAATAGCCGGGTGGATAGAAGAGTTGTAGGCCAACTCAACGTCCGGCAGTCGCTCAACCCAGTCTTTCTGGTCGGGGGGGATGACAGTGCGAAGGAGAACCTGTGCGGTCTGATGCGCCCTCTCCGTCTGGCCATCGGTCTGAGGGTGGCGAGCTGAACAAGGCTTGAGAGATGAGCCCCATAGCTTGATGAGCGCCAACCAAAAACCGAACATGAACGGAGTGTCGCGGTCGCAGACGATCTCCTTGGGGTAACCCTTGGTGCGAATCCAACCGGCGTACAGAGCCTCGGCCAACTCCGGTGCCTTGGCATGATAGCGACAAGGCAAAAACATGGCGAACTTGGTGAGTCGGTCGACCACCGTGAGAATCCCATCCACTCCAGTCTTGTGCTTGGGGAACGGGCCGGTGATGTCCGTGGCAATCGCTTCCCTTCGCCTCAATGGGATTGGGAATGATCGTAACTCGCTATACGGACGATGGTTGCGGGATTTGCAGCGTCTGCAAACCTCGCATGACTCGCATAGCGCGTGACATCGCCGAGAAGGTCGGGCCACCAAAATCGCTGGCGAAGTCGGCCAATCATGCGATTGACTCCAAAATGTCCGGTAGCGGGAGCGTCGTGGAACTCGCCAAGAAGCCGTGTACGCAAGTGAGGATCACTCGGTACGCAAAGAAGGTCCTTCCCCCCCGTGTAGACAAGCAAGTACCTCTCTTGGATCCGATAGTGAGAAGGAGTCGGATTAGGAGAGGAGCAATTAGCGTACTTGTCGCGAAACTCGGGGTCGGCTTGGTAGCCGCGGATATAGCTGTTCCGCAGGTCATCGTCAATCTCAAAAGTCGAGTAGACCGCGGTACAATGATCCGGACGCCTTGAAAGAGCATCCGCAAAACGGTTCGACTTCCCGGGAATGTGATCGGGGAAGAAGTCGAACTGGTCGATGAAAGTCATCCATCGAGCGATGGTGTTGTTGACGGTGTCTTGGGTCTTCTAGAAGACCGACTGATTGTTCTCCGTTACCCATCGAAACTGGCTTCGACCAAGGAGGAAGTGCCGCCACCGCTTGAGCGCGTGGACGAAGGCGAGGAGCTCCTTGCGTGCATTGTCAATGGAATGCACGAGAGGCACTTTCTTGCTAAAGTATTCGACCGGGTGCCAGTCCACACCATCATGTTGCTCTAGGACTGCACCAATGCCATAGCCTGACGCATCCGTAGTGACACGTGTAGGTGCGAGCGGGTCGTATATCCGCAAGACCTCCGCCGACAATAGCGCAGCTTTGAGAGCGAAGAATGATCCTCGCGCCTCCTCTCCGAAGTCAAACGGCCGATCCTCGCACTGAAGCTTGTTCAAGTGGGCCGTGATCTTGGAGTAGCCTTTGATGAAGCGCTGATAGTAGCCGGTAAGACCGAGGAACRRGCGGACATCCGTGACGTTCCGAGGCTCCGGCCACTCTTGGACGGCCTGAATCTTGTCCGATAGCGGACTGATGCCCTCYGGTGTGACAAAATGGCCCAAGTATTCCARCTSTTGCCGGACAAATTCGCACTTGTCACGGTTGGCCTTGTACTTGGCACGGCGGAGCGTCTCCAACACTCGTCGAAGATGTCCAAGATGATCCTCCAATGTCCGGCTRTAGACGAGAATATCGTCTAAGTAGACCAGCACGAACCGGTCCAACATTGCACGGAACTCATTGGTCATCGCCGCCTGGAATGTTGTCGGGGCGTTGGTGACGCCAAAAGGCATGACCATCCACTCAAAATGCCCGTACCGCGTCTTGAACGCGGTTTTGTAGCGATCGTTCGACTGATTCGAGATTTGATGGTAACCTGATTTCAAATCCAACTCGGAGAAGTACTTTGCACAGCCCAATCGCTCAAGAAGATCGTCGATGCGAGGAAGAGGCCCCGCATTCTTGACGGTTTGCGCGTTGAGCTTGCGGTAGTCGATACACAATCGTAGATCCTTGTTCTTCTTCCTGACGAAGAGAACTGGTGCTCCATATGGGGAGCTACTCGGGCGGATCCAGCCCTTGGGCAACTGGTGCTCAATCTCCTCCTCGCTCATCTGATACATGCAACCTTTCGGCGGCACGGCACCGGCCTCAAGAATGATCTCGTGAGAGATTGGCCGACCCGGCACCACACCGGTAGGTGACTTGAAGATGTCGGCGAACTCGTCCAGCAACTGTACCACACGGGGGTCTGAAGACAAGTCCGTGGGTGAAAAGTCGGCTACCGCGACGGTCCATAAGAAACATAGGCCGATCTCCTCGGTCTGCTCGTAAGCGCAAGTTGCCTGGAATGATTTGGCCGTCACCACTTGGCACCGTATCGAAGAGTGCGGTAGAGGAATCGTTTACGCCACTTCCGCACCGAAGGCGTCGCGAACGCTAAGGGTCCGCCAATGGAAGTTGACAGTGTGATCCGCACTTGCAAGCCAAGGCATTCCCATAATGATGTCGAAGTCCGTGTCGAGAATATCGAATGTCACCGGTTCGCATGCATGAGGTGCGAAGTAGACCGATACGGCCTCAATGTAACGGTCGAGCAGTTGCTGCGTCTTTCCATCCGCCAACTTGATCTCCGTCGGGTTTGCCTTCCTCCGAACTTGTGCGCCAAGGCCAGCCCTTTGCATAAAAGATTGGCTCATGAAGTTGCGAGTCGCGCCACTATCCAGCAAAGCGCTGCAGGACGCTTGCCCAACATGGATGCGGACATACATGAGCGGTGCATTGTTGTTATCGTACCACTGCGTGCAAAACTCGCGGACCACCCTGGTAGTATATGCCAGGATGTCCCCCACCGCGACTTCGTCATCCGTCGGCGAAGTTGGTGGTGCATAGAAGTAAGGTAACTGTGAAGATGAGCGCTAAGTGTTGCGCATTATGGTCCCGGCAAACAGCCTGTGTTCGGGAGAGGAAGCCATGCAAAGTCCTCAGACGTGAGCGGGTCCAATGCCTCTATATTGAACTCGCGCGCCGAATCCCGTGACGAACCACTTGAAGACGATATGTCGCTGTTGCCGGACGGAGAAGAAACCGCACACACTCCTTGCCCTTGAGCTTGAGAACCCAACTATGGAACGAGCCGGGCAGCATAGTCCTAAAAAAAAAGTAGAAGCGGAGGACTGTCGACTTCCGCGTGCGCCTCGGAAAGAAGGCTGGTTACTCGCGAAGAAACCAGTTCCGAAGGCGTCGAGAGTGTCGTCGCGTCACTCTCGGCGGTGCTCAGTTTCCCTGTCTGCCCTTGCCTTTCAATGGGCAAACATGTGTCTGATGAAGATCGTTGTTGCACCAAAGGCAATAGTGGAATCCCTCGCGCGCCTTGTATGCAGACTCGGAGATGCCATACGGGGTCCATGGGCCTGTCTGAGCTGCTGCACCGGGCCCGGGGCTAGAAACGGTGTGTGTCTTCGTCTTGCCTCGTCCTCGGCCTCTGCCGGCGAGGCCACCTTCCCGGGCGGCTGCGAATCTGTCCCCTTCACTGGCAGACACAGCCTCGCTGGTTTGGTCTAACGGCGCTGCCGCTGCGACCACGGCCACTCTTGGCCGATGCTGGTCCCTGCTCGGGCCTGACGCAGATGAACGGAGGTTCTTGGCCTCCTTGTTCATGACGATGATCTGCGCAGCCTTGTCAAATAATTCCGTCGTCGTCATCAAGGTGTCCTCGACGTGCGCCTTGGCATTGCTCAATGTCGGACATGACCTTGAGATGAAGTAATAGCGGATGGCCTTGAAGCCCATCTGGATGTCTGGGACTGACGTCAAGCGTTGGTACTCGGCGATCCAGTCCGTACTCGGCAGCGTGCCTTGCTCGAAGACCATAAGCTTGTCCATGGCTTTGATCTCTGGTGGCTCCACCTGGAACCGCTTGTGCCACGCCGCCTTCAGATCATCCCAGGTGATCTTGGTGTGCAAGTCGTTCGCTACCACTCCGTACTTGGACAACAGGTTGTCCAACCAAGCCTGACACGCGCCCCCTGAGCGAGAGTACAAGCAGGTGTGATGCTTGTGTTCCTTGACGTTGTGGAGCTGCAGCGTGAGCTCGAACTTGCGAAACCATGGAATTGGATCTGTCTTGATTGAGTCGCAGAAGATCTCCTGCCCATCGAACTTAGGAGCTGTCTCGCGCGGCTCCGGACTCGAGGTGGTGGCGGTAGTGCAGATCCGTTGTTGCAACTGTTGCGGCGCGGTCTGCTGTAACTGTGCGTCGTCCTGGAGGGAGCCCACGTGCATCTCCAATGCGGTGAGGCGGTCGGCAGTATTGGAAGAGCCTGCGTCAGCGTTTGAACTCAGACTAAACAATGCATTGTATCCATCACCAAGTGTGAAGGAGCCTGGCACTACACACAGGAAGAAAGCGCCAGGTCCAGACATACACAGACGAAGAGATAAGGATCAGACGAAAGGAGGGAGAAAGATGGAAATGTCATTAACACCAAGTCTTGGTCACCAATCGCAAATAGTCCCTCATTGCCATATCTGAACCCCTGAATGTCGAGTCTGGATCAAATGTCACCAAGCTCTGTATCTCTTCGCTTATAGTCTGCAGATGCAGTGAAGTCAGAAGTGAGAAGGAGAGAAGAGATGGTGGACTGAGAAGAGGAAGAAGAAGAAGAACTCTCTCTCTCTCTCT